CAGATCCAGCTACCAATGTTCCAAGATCGCTTAAGCCATTATTTTGCAATCCAGTAGCATGAGATGTTCCATGTTGAAATAGACCGTAAGGAATAAAAAAACAAATGGCTGACTGATAAACGGCATCTAAAACATAAAGCCAAAATTTTGACTTTGTAAAATCTTGTTGTAATATACCTCGCTTATATAATGGCGGATTTTCTAGCGAAGTTTTAGCATCAACATCTTGATCAAAAGCACCTATATATGTATATTAGTCTGATCAGTATTTATAATAATAATTAATTACATTGCACTTTTGTATACGTACCAAGGTACATAACAGGGATAGCCGTGAAAGCAAGGTTATAGAGTAAAATATATGTATAATCATATAAATACTGTGCAGTAAATCTATGAATGATATTTGTTAAAATTATATATTTACATTAAGGTCAATATAATTTAATAATAAGAGACTTCTGAAAGCCTACCCTGCCCAAATTTGATACCAAAACATCGCAATTGTCCAAACGATATTTTTATAGAAAAAACAAGATATCATTTCAGCGATTCGGATATAAGACCAACGACCATGAACGAGTAAAAGTTTATCTAAGAATCGAAATTGGGCAAAAGCATAATCTGCGGCCATTACAGCTTGACGACCTTCTTCACCTGCAATTCCAATACCGACATTTGCTTCCTGAATCATACTCACATCGTTTGCACCTTCAGACGCAAAATGGATAAAAGTAAAGATAAATAACGTGAAAAACTTTAGGTGATATCTAAAGATTAACAGAACATTCGCATACCATCACCAATAGATAAAGTCATTACGTTCAATCCTTCCTTTACTAAAGATACAACCTTTGCTTTTTGCAATGGACTAACACGACAGCATATAACACTATTGCATCTCTTTCCGATATCCAATAGCACATGTTTTATAGATTCGTCCAAAGCATATTTAAGAGTTTCACCATCAATTATTAGAGCATGTTTGTTACTTTTGTTGCAAGCTTCAACGTTAGGTCCAAAGAATTTATCCATAGCTTCATTTAATTGACGAAGAGTACTTTGTTTATCTGATGCACTAATAAGGATCAGAAGCATATCCTTCTGCAATAGATTACATGAGAAACCGATATTGATAGCAGTTTCTGTTTTATCACCCGTAAGCACCCAAATTTTGATACCAGCAGTTGATAAAGTGGCTATACATTCTGGCACACCTTCTTGAA